TTGCTCGCCGACCTTGGAGTTCCTTGCCGAGCTGATCATGCTGGCCCAGAAGAAAGTCGCCGAGCTGACCTTGCTCGCCGACCTTGTAGTTCCTTGCCGAGCTGATCTTGCTCGCCAAGAAGCAAGTCGCGGAGTGGACCTAGCTTGCCTTGGAGTTCCTTGCCGAGTTGACCTTGCTCGCTATGAAGGAAGTCGAGGAGCGGACCTGGCTCCCGCTCTTGGAGTTTCTTATCGAGCTGATCTTGCTCACCAAGAAGCAAGTCGCGGAGCGGACCTAGCTCGCCTTGGAGTTCCTTGCCGAGCTGACTTTGTTCGCCGAGAAGGGAGTCACGAAGCGGACCTTGCTCTCGTCCTTGGAGTTCCTTGCCGAGCTAATCTTGCTCGCTTAGAAGCAAGTCGCGGAGCGGACCTAGCTCGCCTTGGAGTTCCTTGCCGAGCTGACCTTGCTCACCCAGAAGGGAGTCGCAGAGCGGACCTTGCTTGCCGACCTTGGAGTTCCTTGCCAAGCTGATCTTGCTCGCCAAAAAGCAAGTCGCGAAGCGGACCTTGCTCCCGCTCTTGGAGTTCCTTGTCGAGCTGATCTTGTTCACCGACCTTGGAGTTCCTTGCCGAGCTGATCTTGCTCGCCAAGAAGAAAGTCGCCGAGCTGACCTTGCTCGCTGACCTTGGAGTTCCTTGCCGAGCTGATCTTGCTCGCCAAGAGACAAGTCGCGGAGCAGACCTTGCTCGCCTGCCTTGGAGTTCGCTGCCGAGCTGACCTTGCTCGCCGAGAAGAGAGTCGCGGAGCGGACCTTGCTCGCTGACCTTGGAGTTCCTTACCGAGCTGATCATGCTGGCCTAGAAGAAAGTCGTCGAGCTGACATTGCTCGCCGACCTTGGAGTTCCTTGCCGAGCTGATCTTGCTAGCCAAGAAGCAAGTCGTGGAGCGGACCTAACTCGCCTTGGAGTTCCTTGCCGAGTTGCCCTTGCTCGCTACGAAGGAAGTCGAGGAGCGGACCTGGCTCCCGCTCTTGGAGTTCCTTGCCGAGCTGATCTTGCTCGCCAAGAAGCAAGTCGCGGAGCGGACCTAGCTCGCCTTGGAGTTCCTTGCCGAGCTAACTTTGTTCGCCGAGAAGGGAGTCGCGGAGCAAACCTTGCTCTCGCTCTTGGAGTTCCTTGCTGAGCTGATCTTGCTCGTCAAGAAGCAAGTCGCGGAGCGTACCTAGCTCGTCTTGGAGTTCCTTGCCGAGCTAACCTTACTCACCCAGAAGGGAGTCGCGGAGCGAACCTTGCTTGTTGACCTTGGAGTTCCTTGTCGAGCTGATCTTGCTGGCCAAGAAAAAAGTAGTCGAGCTAACCTTGCTCGCCGACCTTGGAGTTCCTTGCCAAGCTAATCCTACTCCCCAAGAAGGAAGTCATGGAGCGGACCGTGCTCGCCAACCTTGGAGTTCCTTGCCGAGCTAACCTTGCTCGCCAAGAAGGGAGTCTCGGAGCGGACCTTGCTCGCCGACCTTGAAGTTCCTTGCCGAGCTGATTTTGCTGGCCAAGAAGAAAGTAGACGAGCGGACTTTGCTCCCTGACCTTGGAGTTCCTTGCTGAGCTGACCTTGCTCACCAAGAAGGGAGTCGCGGAGCGGACCTTGCTCGCCGACCTTAGAGTTCCTTGCCGTGTTGATCTTGCTGGCCAAGAAGAAAGTAGTCGAGCTGACCTTGCTCGCCGACCTTGGAGTTCTTTGCCGAGCTAATCTTGTTTTCCAAGAAGGAAGTCGCGGAACGGACCTTGCTCGCCGACCTTGGAGTTCCTTGCCGAGCTGATCTTGCTCACCAAGAAGCAAGTCGCGGAGCGAACCTTGCTCCCGCTCTTGGAGTTCCCTGCCGAGCTGATCTTGCTAGCCGACCTTGGAGTTCCTTGCCGAGCTGATCTTGCTCGCCGAACTTGGAGTTCCTTGCCGAGCTGATTTTGCTGGCCAAGAAGAAAGTCACCGAGCTGACCTTGCTCGCCGACCTTGGAGTTTCTTGCCGAGCTGATCTTGCTCGCCAAGAAGGAAGTCGCGGAGCAGACCTTGCTTGCCGACCATAGAGTTCTTTGCCGAGCTGACCTTGCTCGCCGACCTTGGAGTTCCTTGCTGAGCTGATCTTGCTCGCCAAGAGACAAGAGTGAACCTTGCTCGCCTACCTTGGAGTTCCTTGCCGAGCTGATCTTGCTCGCCAAGAAGTAAGTCGCGGAGCGGACCTTGCTTCCGCTCTTGGAGTTCTTTGCCGAGCTGACTTTGCTCGCCGACCTTAGAGTTCCTTGCGGAGCTGACCTTGCTCGCCTAGAAGAAAGTCGCCGAGCTGACCTTGCTCGCCAAGAAGAAAGTCGCCGAGCTGACCTTGCACGCCGACCTTGGAGTTCCTTGCCGAGCTGATCTTGCTCGCCAAGAGACAAGTTGCGGAGTGGACCTTGCTTCTGCTCTTGGAGTTCATTGCCGAGCTGATCTTGCTCGCCAAGAAGTAAGTCGCGGAGTGGACCTAGCTTGCCTTGGTGTTCCTTGCCGAGCTGACCTTGCTCACCCAGAAGGGAGTCGCAGAGCGGACTTTGCTCGCTGACCTTGGAGTTCCTTGCCGAGCTAATCTTGCTGGCTAAGAAGAAAGTCGCCGAGCTGACCTTGCTCGCCGACCTTGGGGTTCCTTGCCGAGCTGACCTTGCTCGCCAAGAAGAAAGTCGTTGAGCTGACCTTGCTCGCCGACCTTGGAGTTCCTTGCCGAGCTGATCTTGCTTGCCAAGAAACAAGTCGCGAAGCGGACCTTGCTCCCGCTCTTGGAGTTCATTGCCGAACTGACCTTGCTCGTCGACCTTGGAGTTCCTTGCCGAGCTGACCTTGCTCGCCGACCTTAGAGTTCCTTGCCGAGTTGATCTTGCTCGCCAATAGACAAGTCGCGGAGCGGACGTTGCTCGCCTACCTTGGAGTTCCTTGCCAAGCTGATCTTGCTCGCAAAGAGGAAGTTACAGAGCGGACCTTGCTCGCCTTCTTTGGAGTTCCTTGCCGAGCTGATCTTGCTTGCCAAGAAGCAAGTCACCAAGCAGACCTTGCTCGCCGACCTTGGAGTTCCTTGCTGAGCTGATCTTGCTCGCTAAGAAGAAAGTTACGGAGTGAACCTTGTTCGCTTTCTTTGGAGTTCCTTGCCGAGCTGATCTTGCTCGCCAAGAAGGAAGTCGCGAAGCGAACCTTGCTTATCTTCTTTGGAGTTCCTTTCCGAGCTGATCTTGCTCGCCAAGAAACAAGTCGCGGAGCGGACCTTGCTCACCTTAGAGTTCCTAAACCGAGCAAAGTGGATCATCGAGCAAAAAGTATAGCCCGGCCTTGTAATGTAATCCCAGTCACGCTAGCGCAGACGGAATTAATGGGCAATTGAGAGGGGAATTTTCGTAATCTCGGCTTGGGCCGCGATTCCAGCCGGGCTGAATGTGGTTCAAGCGTATTTGGGTCGAGCCGAGGTGAAGCTTGCTCGGTCGAAGTCCAAACCAGAGTTGGCCGAGATGATCCTCTGCCAGCTTGTCTTCTCTTGTTCGCTCTTTTTAGCTCGGTGATCGTGATCTGTCGCATACCGGTCTAACTTGTCTGGAGCACAGTCGCACCGGAGTGTTGCTGAGCTCGGTTGTGATGGAGCTCGGTGAGTGGCACTGTTGAGCTCGATAAGTTGCTCGGTCGAAGGAGGCCGAGATGATCATCTGCCGATCCGGGTCTTATGGTCGCGCATGTAGCTCGGCGGGAAGATCTCCCTTGGACCGGCCTAACCTGTCCGGAGCTCGGTTGTGATGGAGCTCAGCGAGTGGCATTGTTAGGCTCAATAAGTAGCTCGGTCGAAGGAGGCCGAGATAATTACGCCGGACTGCCCATTCCCACCGATATCAATTAGTGGTTTGATTAGGTGATGTTTGGCTGAATTTGTGCTGACAGATGGGAGAGCAGCTCCACGTGTCAATGAGCGAATGGATGCAGAGGTGGGCACAGAAAAGTGTATAAGCATGACTGCGCCCCCCATGCTAGGGATAGAACATCATTTGGTGAGAACACCCTAAACATAAAACTCTCTCCTCTCTTTCTAGATCCCTGAGTGTGTGCTAACTTGACCGTCGGAGGGGTTTTTTGGCCACTCACCGCCGGGCAGCTCACCGCCGTTGTGTTCGCAGGGCGATCGGACAGACAAGGAGCTTGGTAGAAAGGAGTACGGGCTCTGCGGAATATTTGCTCTCCATACAAAAACTACCTGATTTTTTTTTTTCCTGTAGAAATTGTAACCAAGTTCTAGTCTATAATATTTGCCTAAACTGATGTTGATTCTTGATGAATTTGTTGTTGAAGTGAGACCTTGGCATGTTAAGCCAACTCTGCAGCCAAGTGTGCAGTCCAGAAAACTAACTTTAATTTGTTTTAGTTGGAATGATGTACAAACTACTTGTCAACAGGAAAACTAACTTTAATATGTTTTACTGATACATACAATACTAATACAAAAAAGGTAAACTAACTGGTGGTGTATGATATCAACCACATTGGTTGGGTTTTATTATACCTTTTCTCTTATACTAGGATGAACTTAATAAATTGGTAAAAATTAAATGGTTAGAGAATGATCATCATGTTTACATGAAAAACCAAAGCTAAAATATTAACCACCAGAATGCTCATGGAATTATTCCTTGTGTAAATCCTCGAGTGCTGTAATATTAGTTGCTCTTTGCAAGAAATAGAAGACAGAGCCATTGCCTTGTTTTAGTAAATGACTCGAAGAGGCATAAAGCCTAGTTTTTGCCACCTTTAACACGTGGGCATTTGAAAGGGTTATATGCATTTCTTCTCAATTCTCATGATCACTATATTTAGGAATAAGATATTTTAGGAGTTTTTAGGACATTGTCAGATCCTATGAATCTAAAGGGGAGAGGCTTAAGCCTTTATATACACATGGGCTTATGCTTCTCTTTCATTTATTCGAGACTTGTTGGTAACACTCTTAGCAAAATGTTACTTACATGTTTTGGATTCTTGTGGGCTCATTTCTACCTCTCTTTGCAGAATTGTAATTCACTTGTTGCAGATTCTAGTAGATTCTTGTGCAGGGGACTGAAGTTTTGTATTAGTAGGCATTTCCTTGGGAATTTGGACAAATGACCACCAGTAATGTCTGTAGACATTGCTGTATTAGTTCAGTGTGCATCAAATAGCTCTCCAGACTAGATTCATTGGTCCTTAATTGTCTCTGGAATATTAGCATGATGTGTTGGAGGAGACACAATTGTTGAACTAGTAAGTTGGATTGATTACAATAGTGGTTGGTCTTGAGGCTTTTGTCATCCTTGCACAAAGCTTGATAGGTTTTACATTAAGTAGCATATACCTCTATACTAGCACTAGATCGATAGATGAGGTTGTCATTGTTAGTCCCAGATGGAAGAAAAAAAAAGATTCATGAATAGATGAAGCAATTTAATAGATGATAGTCTTGCCTAGAGTGGGTGAGACAATTATTGCCTTGTTAGGATGCCTGTTGTTTGCTTACATAATTGCCATTTAAAATTTTGGATTCTCCCCCTTTAAAGGTTCAGTTCACTACAAGTTCTAGAAACTCATTAACATTACTCGGTGCTAGCATTACTCAATGGAAAGAGCACAAATCTGACGAATTTACGATTGTTCCTTTTCTTCTAAACAATTCATAAACTGTAGTATTTCCATATCATTCCGTTGATATTTATTGACATTCTATGTATATTTTCTTGTACTGATGACTGTGATGATTATTAGTTCATGTGGTGTTACTACTGTAATTGGAGGGCATGCAATGCATTGGTGGTTTATCAACTGCAGAAATATTGCACTATACTAGGAAGAAAACTTGCACATTTAGCTGCAAATTCACCATCAAGGTTTAGTATTACACTAGGATGAACACACTGAAGGCACATTGGGCTTTTGAAAAACTTGGTCAAATTGAAATGGATAGAGAAGGATAATAATTTCAAATGATATTACATTTTTTGAAGGTAGAAATAATTTTTTAAAAATCAAACCAAAACCAAAACCAAAAGAAACAGGTATTCAATTGCTACACATTATCTACTCTCACTCTCTCTCCTCGCGGACATAGAGCTGAGCTTGAAGAAGATGTCGAGAAGAAGAAGAATTTATGTTTCTTCCATTATTGGACCAAGAATAGCTTACAATAATTGGCTATTAAAAGGTACTTCGAAATCGAAACCTCCATCTCGAGTTGTTAATCGTCCCTCTTGTTTCTTATTTGTTCTGTTTCGTTTTCTCTCTAACACCACCAAAAACCCTACTCCTACTCCTCAAGGAGTTTAACCTAAACCTAAACCTAAAGCTTTACCCAAACAGCCATGCAATTTGGGTCCCAATCATCTTCATTCTGCTTTAATTTCGTTCAATCGCATGTTCCGAATGCTACCTTTGCCCCCAATTTCTCAATTCAACAAAGCTTTAGGGTCTATTTTGAACATGGGTCATTACACCACTGCTCTTTCTCTTATTCAGAACAAGTTACAACAGTTCCAAGGCATTCAAGTCAATTTCTACACCTTCAACATTGCTATTAACTGTTACTACCACCTAAATTGAGCCGATTTTGGGTTGTCTCTTTTGGGTAGCCTCTTCAGATGCGTTTATACACCTGATGTAACTACCTTCACAACTAAGGGGTACAACTAAGGGGTTCTAGTAGTGCTATGTGCTACTATGATAAGATTCGGTTATATATAGCTTGCATTTATTAAGCTAACTACAGATTCAGTAGTTCTCATATGACCCTTGGGGTGATTTTAGAAGTTTTCTGATATGTATCCTTTTGATATTGGGGTTGTTGAGTCTAGAAGATATTGATATGGAACTGTGACATAGCTAGAGTGGAAGTGAATTATCAAGGCACAAGTACTAACAAAGTGGCTAGTGGCTGCTCAACTATAGGAGGCCAACCTGTGGGCTAGTTGTGGCGCTATGTTGGATTATAAACGATATGCACCTTATGATCTCTGCAATCCTGGTTCTTTTTGGCATTCCCCTTTTGCATTGCTTTCAATTTGAACTATGTTACTAGTTGTAGGTGTAGAACACCAGATCTCATTTCCAGTATGTTCTAGAGATGGAAAATAAATAAATAAATAACCCTTCAGATATCGTTTGAATGTCTAGTCAAAGAAAAATGTAGGCTCCTGTATGTTTATTTATTATTGCAAATATCAGTCTTCTTTTTCATTCTTCTCTAGGAGATTGGCATGTTTTCAATGCGAATGCTCACTTGGTGCTGCTTGAAATATTGATGTAGCTACCGCTTGGAAATATATATATATATCTATTTTTTGCTGGTAAGGACAGGTGAAGTTGATGTTTTTGGGTTGATGTTGATAAAAGCTTTATGGCAACATCTTTCAACTGCTCCGGTTTGTAAAGAAATACAAGAATAAGGTTGGATACAAACTTAATTGACCATCAATCAAAGGGTGTGTGAAAGTATCCTATCCTTTTGAACACACATCATATAAAGCGAGCTTTGAAGAGCTTGTGAAATATACTTGGCGACAAACTCAGCATGAAGTTGAATTATCACAGTGAATTATCAAGACTCAATTATTATTGAAGTGGCTATGCAACTGCAAGAGCCCAACCTGTTGACAATTTCTCAAATTGTGGGTTGTAATAGCAAAACACAAGGCTCTAGAGGCTATTTGTCGCAAAGTGCAGGTCTGACAATCTTTCTGGATAGATTTGTCAACTGACTGATGCCCTTGGGATGGAATGCCTTTGGCTGGTTAACTTGATGACTAACCACTGCTCCAGCTAAGTCCATCCTATGAGACCAAGAGTAGGGGGCATTGAGGTCTGTTACTTGGTAGCTGGTGCAATTTGCCCTTTTGCTATCTCTAGTGGGTACATGTTTCGCACCCTTTTTCAGCACATCATCTATTTTTTTTTTTTTTTTTTCTATTTTGTTTTTTATTTTTAGTTTTTGAGAATTTCCACTGAAGTTTTATAAATAGCTAGATGTTGCTTAATAATTCATAACTTCCGTTATGATGTTGCTGACTACTTATTATCAATTAAAAAACACATTTCCCTCTTGTTTGTGATGAAAGATGTAAAGGAGCTATACAACCATGATTGTGAATATTCATTAAATTTGAGGCAAATGCGATCTATGATGCTGATTTCTGTACCTTCAGTTTCACAGTCCTTTATTGATGGATGTTGAGCTGATACCCAGCTGTTCAACTGAGTACTTGAGAATAATTCTACTTGTAAATATTTCAATGTTGTGTGCTAGTGATAACAGTTGTCTAGATCTCTTTATTACAAGGGACACATGGTTCTTAACATTGACTTTTGTGGTTCATGTATGCGGAAATTATAGAAAGATACTGATCTCTTGTCACGCAGGAACAGAAAAGGAGAGCAAGCTTTCAGAATGTAGGTATTGATGTCTTGGACCAGCTGCACCAGTGGTATATCCAAATAGTGTAACCCATCAACTAAGTTGTTGCATGGTTGATTTCAATGAAGTGGGAAACCATCTGTCTGCTAAGAAGCTGATTGGTGCCGGTGAGTTTTTTATACATCTGCATCCTTGTAATTTACACCAATTCTTCTTACTGGATGTGCAAAATTTTATCCATTTATCTTCTTATCTAACCAATAATAAAACTCAATATATATATATATATTTCATCTATTTGTTTAAAATTCTAAATCTATTTTTTTTAGACTATATTAAGAGGTCTTCTTTTTTAGTAATTTATAGTGCATTCATCTGGAACAGTAGAACTTCTGTATGCTAGTTGATTGATAGTATCTGGTTGCCCCTTGTGCTCATAAACATTTATACTGTCCATACATCTTATTGATTGGTAGTTTCTAAGTTCTAGCTTTGAAAATCTTCTCAATATCTGATCAGAATATTAGAGCTTGGACAATTCTTTGCATTGCCCCAAGTAGATTATCTATAGGCATTTATGGTGATGTTGTCTGGACTTACAAGGCTATATAACTGCATATTTGCATATGAATACATGCTCTGAATTTCTATTTACGACTCCCTGAATACAAGGAGAAAAGGAAAAAGAAAAAAGAAAAAGGGCAAAAAGTAAAACAATAAGAATAAAATCCATGTATCTAGAAAATTGATCTCTCTCTCTCTCTCTGTGTATGTGTATGTGTGTGGCAAGAGCACAGAGAGGAAATTTCAAGAAAAGCAAAGGTGGTTGTCTTTATTTGAAGGATTCTCCCATCTCAACAAATCATTGGTTTTTTTAAGAGATTGTCAATTCTGTTTTATATTGTTTAGCCCTTAACCTCTGATACACATGGTGAGAAAGCAAAATTTTGAGGCATATCTACCAAGAAAGCTAGAAGCATTTTCAGGAACAAAGTTGGGCAAGAATTAATGCTTAATGCAGATGAAGTTTAGGAGTTGCTTTAATTGGAAAGATCAGTTTAACTTGCAGTTGAGAAACAGTACTAAACAGAGTTCCACACCGTGGAAGCTTGGCTTGTCTTGCTGCCCACCCTCAACATGCAACCTCCACCTTGCCCTGTGTGATGCTTCCTCTACACCACAAACAGAATATCATAAAGCTGCACATAATTTTTCAAGTAAATTTAAATCCGACATGGCTCGTTGACGTGGCTATTTAAGTTTCTAGTGCTTGTTAATATAGTGGCTAGTTGTTGTCTACACTATAATGTGATTGAACCTATATTTGAAACTTTATGTTCGAGTCTATACTTGAAACTGACTGTTAGGCCAGTCTTTTTCCAATTAATTTTCAGTCCACTATACGTTGTTCATCAGTTCTTCATTGCTCTTAAACAAGGCCTTGTTGTGATCAAAATTGGTGTTGGTTATAAATTATTGCGGTGTTAGTTTTTGGTTATGGGCCACTGTGGTGATGGAGCTAGCAAATCGTCAAATCAAAATTGGTTGGAACTTGTGTAGTATTTGGTATATGTTAAAGTGGTATTAGTTATGATTTATTTGTGGGAGCTTTAGACATGACCAAGGGAAACTTGGATAAATCCAAAGTAATATTGGTCATGACCCAACATGATTATAATCAATACTTCATAGTAATTTTTATTTTTTTTTAAATTTAAATGGCTGAATGTAGATTTTTTTTTTTTAATCAGCAAAAAAGCAACTTTTTATTGATGAAGTCAAAGGCACATACATCAACAAAAGAAAGAAGGAAGCTGCTACAATGCATGACAACAACATGCCTACGAAGCACCCCTAAAGCACCGCAAGTGCACCGGCAATAAAAAGAAAACAGAGGAATAGCAAGGCACCATCCTGATAACAAAAATCAATCTCCGACAGATGAGCCAAATCACCCATGAAATAAACCCTCAAGCAATCCCAATTGCGATTGTCACATGTTGCCCCTTATGGAATCAAGTCTATAGACAATATCTTCAATTGAAAATACCACCCCTATAGCATTATACTTCCCAAAAAAGGCCAATCTTACGTATTATTAGATTACATAACACAACCCAATGAAACTTGGCCCCGATAAACTTACATTCACTTCTAGCTTTCCAAACCAACCACAACACTGCAAAAATGAGAGCCTCCCAAGTCCTTTTCTCTAGCTTTTTAAATTTGAAGTCAGCCTACCATTGAAGTGTTGTTCAAATTGTGAAATTAAATAAATAGATTTATGAAGAAATCAAATTATATACCAAGAATATATGTTGATAATTACAATTAAATTTTAACAGAAATACACAAAACAATAAAAGGGTAAAGAAACGAAACCGAAGCCTGCACGGAAGCAGTTTTCTTAAAATAGATTTCGCCGTCTCACGGGTCGAGTGCTTGAGGAATCCTGGTGTCTGTCTCCCAGGATACGACGGTCAAAACTAGCTACAGAAGAAGCACTTTCTGTCTAGCTTAGCGAACAAGAACAGTGGCAGTACTCTGTCAATGTAGGAACTTTCTGGCAAACTGACTTGTAAAATGGAAGCAAAAAATTTCTATATTGAAACTTGATAGGAGGGTCTCAATTTATACATGTAAAGGGGAGAGAAGAAGAGCCTCTAGCCTTTAAGTGATATAATTATTGTCATATAAAATATCAAAATTGTTGTTCAAAATTGTGAAATTAAATAAATAGATTTATGAAGAAAACAAATTATATACCAAGAACATATGCTGATAATTACAACTAAATTTCAACAGAAATACACAAAAAACAATAAAGGGTAAAGAGACAAAACCGAAGCCTGCACGGAAGCAGTTTCTTTAAAACAGATTTCGCCGCTTCACGGGTCGAGTGCTTGAGGAAACCCGGCGTCTGTCTCCCAGGATACGACGGTCAAAACCAGCTACGGCAGACGCACTATCTGTCTAGCTTAGCGAACAAAACAATGGCAGCACTCTCTCACAATAGGAACTATCAAGCAAACTGACTTCTTGTAAAATGGAAGTAAAAATTTCTATATTGAAACTTGACAGGAGGGTCTCAATTTATACATGTATAAGGGAGAGAGGAAAAGCCTCCAACCTTTAAGGCTAGTCATTAAAACACCAAGCATCCACAACCCCTTTCCACAAAATGAAAAGTATGGATGCCCAAAGGATTCACACCCTTTAGCCAAGAAAAAAGATTTAAATACTCTTTAAAATCCTATTCATGAATCTAACCTCATGAAGCAATTTTTTGGCAATTTCTTATTTAAAACCCAATGGTTTTTGGCTCACTTGGACCCAACACAAAAAATTGTTAGGACCCACATTAATATTAAATTAAAGTCCCCAAAAATCATTTTTTCCAACAATCCCCCACATGAATAAAAATTGACCGAATGACTCAACAAACGGACATCGTTCAACAATAAAGACTCTGAGAGAGAGTACAATGGACTAATCCCGACATCAAAGAAGGTAGCTTTTGGCTTTGAACCTCTACCAGTGAAAATCTATCGAGTTTACTGGCAGATCAGTGAATAAGACATCTTGAACTGCTCTACCGTTTATGTAAACTGAGACAATAGATCTCACACGAGAATTACTCCTACCACCATTTTGTTCTCACTGGTGTGCCCTGTGTGGCCCTGGACACTAGCCTGATTCAGCGAGTGGTTTCAAAGAATCTTGGCCTACTCAATTCTTCTAGAAGCGGCCCCACTTCAAACTCACATAGGTGACTCTACTAAAGTATCCTGCAATACTTAGCTCAGCAGCGTAACACATAAGAGTCATTAAAAGCTCAACTTATCCTCTACACTTGCAGGTATCACTAATAGAAGGAATGGCTGGAGGTTTAACCTCCTCAGTGACATACCACCGTTACACGCAATTAGGTTGTCCCATTGAACCTAGATCTTGGGATCTCCAGTCAACTAGGTTGGGTTTCCATTTCGGTAACTTCCAAAGGCCTTAACCCCATTCCTTTTGACGACGTTTCGACTAGCGCTCGACTTAAACCTTTGGTTGGCGGATCCGCAATGTTGTCTTTAGACTTTACATAGTTTAAAGAGACAACTCCATTCGAGAGTAGTTGTCGTATGGAATTATGTCTACGACGGATATGTCTAGACTTTCCATTATATATATTACTCTGTGCCCTACCAATTGCAGATTGACAATCACAATGAATACAAATAGCTGGCACAGGTTTAGACCAACGTGAAATATCTTCAATGAAATGGCGAAGCCATTCTGCTTCTTCTGTTGCTTTATCCAAAGCAATAAACTCTGATTCCATCGTTGATCTAGATATACACGTTTTCTTGGAAGATTTCCAAGACACGGCTGCCCCCACCAAGAGTGAACACATATCCACTAGTGGACTTTGAGTTCTTTATATCTGATATCCAATTCGCGTCACTATATCCTTCAAGCACCGCTGGATATCGAGTATAATGCAGCCCATAATCCCGAGTGTAGCGTAAATACCTTAACACCCGCACAATGCCCTTCCAATGAGAAGCATCAGGATTACTTGTGTATCTACGAAGCCTGCTAACCGAGTAAGCTATATCTGGCCTAGTACAACTCATCAGATACATTAAACTTCCAATTACCCGAGAATATTCTAACTGAGAGACACTCTCTTTATTATTCTTGGTAAAGTGTAGACTTAAGTCTACAGGTGTCGATTACACACTTGTATCTGATCTACTAAACTTCTCAAGTATCTTATCAACATAATGAGACTGAGAAAGTACAATTCCGCCAGAGATTCTGGTAATCTTAATTCCCAGAATAACATATGTAATGCCCATATCCTTCATGTCAAATTTAGAGTTTAACAACTTCTTGGTAGTTTTGATCATTTCATCGTTACTACCTATAATAAGCATATCATCAACATATAGACACAAAATGACATAACCTCTGTCAGTGTCTTTGACATAAATACACTTGTCACATTCGTTGATTCGAAACCCATTTGACAACATTACATTGTCAAACTTTTCATGCCATTGTTTAGGCGATTGCTTCAAACCATACAAAGATTTGACAAGTTTACAGACTTTCTTGCTTTGTCCTGGAGCTGAAAACCCTTCAGGTTGCTCCATGTAGATTTCTTCATTCAAATCCCCATTTAAGAAAGCTGTCTTTACATCTATCTGGTGTATCTCAAGATTGCGCAAAGCTGCTATCGCAATCACTATACGAATGGATGTTATCCTAGTTACAGGTGAGTACCTATCAAAGTAATCTAGGCCTTCTTGTTGCCTGTACCCTTTGATAATGAGCCTCGCCTTATACTTGTCAATAGAGCCATCGGCCTTCATCTTTCGTTTAAAAATCCATTTGCAGCCTAAAGGCTTATAACCTGGAGGTAAATCTACCAACTCCCAGGTGTGGTTCTGTAAGATGGAGTCAATCTCACTTTTGATCGCTTCTTTTCATAAAAGACTCTCAGGAGAAGTCGCAGCTTCGTGGAAAGTTTGAGGTTCATTCTCAACCATATAAGTCAAGAAGTCTGGACCAAAAGATTTGGATGTCCTAGCCCTTTTACTCCGTCTGGGCACATCTAAAACCTCAATTTGATCATCACCTGGATCATCAACATGATCATTCTCACTAGCAAACTCGTCAAATTGCTCCAAAGACCTTGGAACCCCTGCATGGGTTCGGCAAAGAAAAATGTCTTCAAAGAAACATGCATTCCTTGACTCCATGATGGTATTCCTGTGTATGTCTGAAATTTCAGACTTATGAACAAGAAACCGATATGCACTACTATTATGTGCATAACCAATGAATATACAATCCACAGATTTCGGGCCTATCCTAACCCGTTAGGGTGTAGGAATCGCCACTATTACAAGACACCCCCACATTCGTAAGAATTTATAAGAAGGCTTAACGTCTTTCCATAACTCATACGGGATCTTGTCCACTTCACTTCAACACAAGTTCACACTTGTGTTTCGTCAGAACAACCTTGTCAGACTCAAAAAACCATGCGAAAAACATGTTTACTGAGAAGAGACCTTGAGACAAGATTCTAACAAATGTCCGGAACATACAGGACTTCGTTCAAGGTTAGCTCTTTTCCTGAGGTTAACATCAGGATCACCTTTCCCTCAACAAATGAGGTAGTAGAGTTTCCCATAAACAACTTCTCACCGTTTGTAACCGGTTTGAAAGTTGTAAACAACTCCTTCTCGGAGCAGATGTGGCGTGTAGCCCTAGTAAAACTAAAAGCCTCGCTACCACAGTTGTAGCACTTCCCAAAGAACCGAGAACCAGGTTCCCGCGGCTTGTATGCCAGCTTCTTTGCAACACCACCCCTTGGCCTCAGCT